GCCTATCCTAACAAACCATACATCAATGGAAATCTTATTTATTCAGCTTTCAGATGATGTATAAATCTCAATGTCAAAAAATTGACCCTTATGACTGGTTTTGTGGTCCAGGGTCACATTTCAAGAATTCAGTCAATTTTGTGAGAAACTAATTGAATGTGGCTGGTATTTTCTCCTCTAGACCTGCCCATGCAGCTGAACGCAGCTCTGTTCGAGGCTAATGGTCACTGTGGTTATGTGCTGAAGCCTCCGGTCCTGTGGGAGCAAAGCTGCCCTCTCTATCAGCAATTTTACCCTCTGGATCGAGACCTGGAGAACATGACCCCCACGCTCTACACTCTCACTGTAAGTATCCCACATTTGTTTAGCGTTATAACTACTCTTAGCTAATCTAACAGACATTAATTAAGTATTGTGCGCACAGATTGTGTCGGGACAGAACGTGTGTCCGGGGAACTCAAGCGGCAGTCCCTGTGTGGAAGTGGAGGTGTTGGGCATGCCGGCAGACAGCTGCCATTTCCGCACCAAGCCCATTCACCGCAACACACTCAATCCCATGTGGAACGAGCACTTCCAGTTCCACGTGCACTTCGAGGATATGGCATTTCTGCGCATCGCTGTCATGGAGAACAACAGCTCACAGGTCACCGCTCAGCGGATACTACCCCTCAAAACCCTCAAACCAGGTAAAGAGCATTGTGTGATTGCTTCTGGACTGATTATTGATCTATCACTGCAGCATGCTTTATAGATGATCTTCAGAATCTACATTTTACATACTGTACACTAGCCTACCGTTCAAAAGTTGGAGGTCACCTATAGATTTTTTAAAAACGGATTTTGAAAGACGTCTCTTATGCTCATGAAGGCTGCATTTATTTGATCAGAAGCAATAAAAACAGTAATATTGTGAAATAATATTATAATTTAAAATAAATGTTTTCTATTTGAATATATTTCTAAATGTTTCTGCTTAAATATTAAGTAGCACAACTGTTTTCAGCGTTGATTATAATAAGAAATGTTTCTTGAGCAGCAAATCAGCAGATTATGGTTTCTGAAGGATCATGTGACACTGAAGACTGGAGTAATGATGCTGAAAATTCAGCTTTACATCACAGGAAGAAATTAAACTTTAAAATATATTACAATAGTAATTTTATACTGTAAAAATTGCTCTGGGTGTGTGTTCATGGTGTGTGTGTGTTCACTGCTGTGTGTGTGCACTTTGGATGGGTTAAATGCAGAGCACTAATTCCAAGTATGGGTCACCATACTTGACCACGTCACGTCACTTTCACTTTCACTTTTCAATTGTTTTATGCTGTAATACTATTTCACAGTATTAGCGTTTTTACTGTATTGGTGAGCATAAGAGACTTAAGTGTATATATACATTATATGTGACCCTGGAGCACAAAACCAGTCTTAAGTCCCTGGGGTATATTTGTAGCAATAGCCAAAAAAAACATTGCATGGGTCAAAATTATTATATATTTTTTTATGCCAAAAATCATTAGGATATTAAGTAAAGATCATGTCACATGAAGATATTTTGTAAATTTCTTACCGTAAATATATAAAAACTTAATTTTTGATTAGTAATATACATTGCTAAGAACTTCATTTGGACAACTTTAAAGGTGATTTTCTCAATATTTAGATTTTTTTGCACCCTCAGATTCCAGATATTCAAATAGTTACATCTCGGCCAAATATCGTCCTATCCTAACAAACCATACATCAATGGAAAGCTTAAGATGATGATGAAGATGATGTATAAATATCAGTTTCAAAAAAATTTACCCTTATGACTGGTTTTGTGGTCCAGGGTCACATATTATAAAATATTTTAAAAAAATTGTTAATTTTTTTTTACTGTCTGTTGTCTGTCAACAATTGTTGGATGATCATTTGTGCCTTCAGATTACTCCATTTGATCATTTACTGTATTGAATTCTGTTTTTTTTTTCTTAATTTAATTGATGAGTAAAACATTGTCCGATATTTTGTTTGGTTTCTGTGAATTATTCCAGGCTACAGACACCTGCAGCTGAGGAACCTGCACAACGAGTCTCTGGAGATCTCTAGTCTGTTCATCTTCAGCCGCAGGACAGAGGAGAGCCCCACCGGAGGACCACTGCCTGCGTCTGTGGTGAGACCACATTCATAAACCACACAGCTGTCTGGATCTCAGGCAGATATTTGTGTTACATGTAGTACTAGTGGAACTAGACAGCAGAAATCAAAGTGTTTACATTCATGATTCCTCTGTATGTGCCTTACAGTCACACAGGGGAGTGGCCAGCATGTTTGAGAAAACATTGTGCGAATATTTCTGATGTTTTTAAAACTCTGGAATGTGCTGCATTCCTGTCCCTCAGTCCCTGTCGTCCCAGTGCAGCATAGTTTCATTAAAAACAGGAAATCATAAAGGCATAGACAGCTACTGTATACAGAAGTGCCATGCCCATTCAAACTGGAAAAAAAAAACAGTTCCAGGGGAAAATTAATGTTTGGATCCATCTGTACACTGGAAAAATGGCTTTGAGACTATTTTCTTTCAGAAATTGCTGGTAAATGTCACAAATAATTCAAAAGAAACAGCAAGTAACAATTAAACGTGTTTTGAAGTATAAAGACTGAAATAGTATTTTCTTGTAAAATGTACTCCAGTATATAATTTTTTAGTGTATTTGCATGTTAAAGATTAAAAACAACAGTGTTTTTGTCTAAATTACTGTGGTAGTTGTAGTTTAACTCTGTTATACTTGTGTAAAGTGTTTCTTCTCTTGCTGGTGTTGTTGCAAAACTACAGTAGGTGCATGACACTCCTGACTGTAAACAGTTTTATTGAATCATTTTATTTAGTTCAGCTGTCAGGAGTTGTTTAATAGCTCTGAAACATTATTAATAACCTGCTCTTTTGTTTATTAGTCACAGAAAAAAAGTGAACTCTGTTGTCGTTTTGTTGTTCTCTCAGCTGTTCAGCACGGAGGAAAGACGCGCCGCCCAGCAGCACAAAGTGACAGTGCATGGAGTTCCAGGCCCCGAACCCTTCACCGTAATCTGCGTTAATGAATACACCACGGCCAAGCAGCTCCTGGACTCTGTAAGTGTCAACGCAACAGAACCGAGCCAGTTTAGACAGGCTAGCACACACCAGAACACTGTCAAGAACCAAAGGACAGGGTGCAACTACTGTAGATGAAGCAGTGGAAGCACTCTGTGTGTTCGGAGTTCTCTTGGAATTCTTGAGTTGTTGTTTTTATGAGTTCTGAAATGATGTTTCGGATTAACCCTGGAAGTTCATCCGGTTGCCAAATAGTCCTCCTCGTGGAGAATGATTGTCATCCGTTCTCACGTTAGGAACAAGCAGTGCTTCACATTTTCATCATTCCTCCGCACATAAACACGCCTCTCTTTCTTGCCAGTTGTTTCCAACTACCTCCTTCGACGACTTCCTGATGGAGGAGAAAATGCCTCTGTGCAAGGAGAAGAGCGAGTCGAAGAAAGCGCCTCAGCAGCGCCCCCTAGCGAATGACGAGCGGCTCCTGAGAGTTACTCACAGCTGGCAGCTGGAGGAGGGATATGTGGGCAGAATATACCTGAAAACCAAGGAAGAGGTTTGTGCTTGCTTTCATTTCATTCCATTTCTAAGGGTCCTGTTATGCAGTACCTTTTTGATTTTATAACTTTTGAAAGAGGAATAAAGAACCACTGAAAAGTTTTGGGTTGGTAAGATTGCAGAAGCCTCTTATGCTCACCAAGGCTGCATTTATTTGATAATAGAAATGCAGTAAAAACAGTCATTTTGTGAATTCTTTTTACTATTTAAATGAACTATTTTAATATATTTTAAAATGTCATTTATTCCTGTGATGCAATGCATCATTACACCAGTCTTCAGTATCACATGATCCTTCAGAAATCATTCTAATATGCAGATTTGCTGCTCACGACCCATTTATTATTTTGTTGAAAACAGTTTTTGCGTAAACGACTTGATTGTTAATAGGATATAAAGGCTGACAAGATGGAAAGTAAACTAAAAACTGTTAACTGGTTACCAATTAAAAGTGTTCCCAAGAAAACATATATTTTTTTTTTGTTGAAAATGTGAAGAATCTGTCAGTTTATGATGAGATATTCCAAGTTTTATATCAGAAGCACCCAGCGACGTGACACAAACGGATTAAAACGGACCCAAAATAACCCAGAATGATTTCCAATATCTTTGGACAACATAATAACAGTGACTCATACAGGCTTCATAAAAGATCCACACCCATTACTTTTGTTTATTCATCCACCATCTAATTCTTGATCTGTTGCTCCCCCTGCTGGCTGATAGCAGAACATCAGTGAGAAGAATACAGTGATGGAGGGGGTGGAGGAGGTGAGCAGCGGAGAGGACGACACGTTCCTCGTGCAGGTTCATGATGTTTCTCCTGAGCAGCCTCACACGGTCATCAAAGCCCCGCGTTACAGCACCGCCCAGGACATCATCCAGCAGGTCAGAAGATCACCGCAGCTTCACTCACAGAACTCATCCCTGTCATGTTAATATCAGAAAATCTAAGCCGCTGTGGTCTGTTGTAGACTCTGAGCAAAGCCAAGTACTCTCTGAGCATCCTGAGCAACCCTAACCCATGTGACTACGTCCTGATGGAGGAGGTCACTAAAGACGCGGCTGGAAAGAAATCCTCCTCGGCTAAACCGTGCCAGCGTGTGCTGCAGGACCACGAGTGTGTGTTCCAGGCTCAGAGCCGCTGGAAGGGACCTGGGAAGTTCATCCTCAAACTCAAGGAGCAGGTAAACACTTATTCATGTGAGATCTGAAAAGAATACATTACTTATGCATATTTATCCCCAAACTGAAGTAACACTATCATTCAAACTTTTATTTTTTTTCCAAAATCTGTTATGCTCGCCAAGGCTGCATTTATTTGATCGAATATACAGTGAACACAGTAATATTGAAATATTCATAGTAATAGTGAAATATTACTACAACTTAAAAGAACTGTTTTCTATGTGAAAAAAATGTCAAATGTAATTTATTGCTGTGATGTGCTGAATTGTCAGCATCATTACTCTCAGTCTTCAGTGTCACATGATCCTTCAGAAATCATTCTAATATGCTGATTTGCTGTTCAAGAAACATTTCTGATTATTAGCAAAGTTGAAAACAGTTGTGCTGATAAATATTTTTGTGGAATTTCTTTTTAGCCGCAAGACATGATTTTTTTAATGAATAGGGACAACATTTATTTTAAATGTACATTTTTTGTAACAAATGTATTTGATACATTTTTTATTTTGTTTATTTTTGTCTAAAACATTGACTCCCCATTTTCGAATCGTAGTTTACCGTTTTTTTTTCTTTCGTTAATTTCCATCAATTTTCCTGTCATTGTTGATTATTGTTGATAAAGTGTTTTTTTTGTGTAGATTGCACTCAAAAAGAGACATTTATATATCTTTATAAAATAAAATGTGATAAATTTTTTAATTATAAATTATTTTAGATTTTAGGATAAAAAATATAATGTATAAAAAAGAATGTTTCCTATAGACATGGTTTTTATAAGGCCTGGAAAAGTCACAACGTTTTTTTTTTTAATTTGAAGTTAATTTTTATATAGACACACTATAATAACTAATGATTGATTTCATTATATTAATAGCATTTTTTCTGTCTCTCAGATCGCTCGTGAGGACAAGCGTAAGGGCGTGTCTTTTGCCAGTGAGTTACGGAAGCTGACGGGACGGAGTCGGAGCTTGACTGTGAACACGAACGGTTCAGCGGCTCACGAGTCGACACACAGTAAGGAAGAGAAGGCTGCATGTCCCAGCATGGTGCCTCTGCCAGAGGCCTCGAAGTGAAGGAGCGCTCTGCAGTGTGTGTGTGTGCAGTGCATGGAGCTCTCACGAGGTACTAGACACTAACACACAACATATTACATAGTCAGTCTGAAATCTAACAGATTGCTTACTTGGACACATTCAACTGGTGTCCAAAAATGAAAATTTGATGAAAATGCAATTGATTTTGTGAACGTAGCATTGCATCACTTGCTCACCAATGGATGCTCTGCAGTGAATGGGTGCCGTCAGAATGAGAGTCCAAACAGCTGATAAAAACATCACAATAACCCACACCACTCCAGTCCATCCATTAACATCTTGTAAAGAGAAATCTGTGTGTTTGTAAGAAACAAATTCATCAGTAAGAAAAGCCCAAACAGTCCGAAACATTTCTAAAATGTTGGTGGATCTTGACGTAAGGGGATGAACATTTTCACTGGACATTATGGACTTGTATTTTGGCCAGTTTAAAGTTAAAACAATGAAGGATTTGTTTCTTACAAACATACAGCTTTTGGCTTCACAGGATGTTAACTGCTGGACTGGAGTGGTGTGGATTACTTGTGGATTATTGTGATGTTTTTATCAGCCGTTAGGACTCTCATTCTGACGGCACCCATTCACTGCAGAGGATCCACTGGTGAGCGAGTGATGGAATTCCATTTTTTCTATATTCTATATTTAATTCTATATTCTAAACCTGTTCCCATGAAGAAACATTGAAATTTTCATTTTTGGGTGAACTGTTCCTATGTATGATTTAGTGAAGGTTAGATTTTGTATGGTATCCCAGATGCTGAGGTGACTGCTTGTTGATGTTTGCTGTTCTTTATCTGTCATTAACTAATGTTATTAATTAACAGTGCACCATGTCTTTACTATCAGTGAAAAAATGATTAATGGCATGTAATATTTAATAGACCTCAATCAGGGTCGACACCGTATACAATTTGCTGCAAATGAATATAAGCCCGTTAAACTTGCAGCTTATGAAAATTAGACACAACCTTAGGAGTGTACAACATCTGAAAATACTGCATGTCTGTTCCTCACAGCCTCACTTTGATTCATGTCAACTGATACTGAAGCCTGGAGGAATGATGCTGAAAATTCAGCTTTTCAATTACATTTTGAAATATATTCAAACAGAAAACACTTATTTTAAATTGTAATAATATTTCACAATATCACCGTATTTTTGATCAAATAAATGCGGCCTTGCTGAGCGTAAGAGACTTGTTTAAAAACATTTAAAAATCTCACCAACCTCGTTACCATGTCATAAAAATATTGACGACTTTTTAAAATTAAGATGCAACAGTAATGAAACGCCTCCAAACACATTCACTCTGCGTCAGAAATAAAATTCAGGCTCGTTGTGAGTGTTCCCATGGTGTGTCTCTTCTCAGGGTCTCTGTCGATGGGGCTGAAGGCCTGGATGGCCGAGGGACGCTTGGGTTCTCAGAGCGATCGGGCCCCTGCCCCGTCCCCCTGGACCCTCCCGCTGCTTTGGAACTGGAAGCTGCATAAGTGAGTCCAGACCCAGAGCAGCACCTCTAGTGTTCACTCCTCTCACGTGAGTGCGATACAGTGCAGCCTGACGGCCGCTTGAGCTCGTCCCGTGCAGAACACGATGGTCTGCGTGAACTGGGCTTGCTGATGGGTTGAGGAAATCAGTCACTTCAGCATGTTACCGGATGTCAGATGAAGGCAGTTTCTCCTCACCTATACTTCTTTTCCTTTTTTAACAGTACTGTAAGTGAATGCATCTGTATGCATTTCATGTTTTAGTTGTGGTTTTGCACATTACCTTGAAGTCCAGCTATTTTGAAAGCTTTTTTAATACTTTATCCACTATCCTTTTTTGTTTGTTTTTTTAGAAGCAAAATGATTGACTTCCAAACTTTAGGATTACTTTTATGAATGTAAATATGGCGATCGAGTTCACAGCACAGAAAGATGCAAGGCAGATTTGTTCTGCATATTTTAGCAGCTAATTTAATTTGATGGCTTTCATTGCACATGTCCTGCACTGCATTTTAATGACCAACAGCAAAAAAAAAAAAAAAGCAAGATGTTTAGCGGTACTTTTCTGTAAACTGCCTCGAATCTATTTACAGTATTACAAAAACAAGCATTTGAAGAAACGTCACTTTTAAATGTTTTTTTTTTGTGTTACTGATTTATTTTTTTATTATAGCTCGTAATTTTTGTATATATTTTTTTCTTTTTGCTCTTTTTTCCCCCATTTGCAGCTGCAGTGCAAATATTTTTCAAAATATTTTTTTCTTGCATTTATGGAGAGCTCAAGATCTTCACTGGCACTGTAGTGCTCGTTTTGGAATATTTTAATTTAGAATATTTTAATTTAGAATCAATACATTGAGATATATGTCCCATATGACCTCTGTAATTATTGAAAGCCAGTTCCCTTTTTGTGTTAAATTAAATTTCGCTATAATATTTTCATGTGATTTCTAAACTCACTGCATAGCAGTTGAATCCTTTCTTTGTTTTCAACTTTAAGTGGTCCATTTTCTTTCTTGAAGTGTAATCTTTCATAATTTATTGAACGTTATAGCCCAGGTTGGCTGTACTTTTCCAGATGTGTACATATGAACGAGAGTACATAATTATGAAATCTGCATTAATTTATTCGTAAGGGCATGAATGCTCCTCCAACCTGTTCGTACTGTATCCATGTATAATGTTTGTATTTTTCTAATTTAGATTTTTAGCACTGTCTTCAGAGATATTAAATATTTTGACTTTTAAGTGAATGTAGGCACCATTGAAGTGTATTTTATATGTGGTCCACTACAGCATTATGTCCTTTAATATCTTTTCAATGTATATTTCCCATCGCTTCGTTTCGAACAAGCAAGTGTTTAGTGTGACACAATGCTGTTATTTGATAATCTAAGAACTTCTGACTGTTGTACTAGTGATGGTTTTCAGCACACATAAAGCTCTATAGGAATGTATCATCAATATTGTGATGTCAATATTGGGTCATTTGTTTACTTGAAACCACTGAATCAACTGCATTCATCAATACATAGTGTTGAAAAAAAAATCCATGTTTGGTGAAACGGTGATAATGATAAACTCAATAAAGGCTCTGCTGGTATCTTGGAGCATTTATTGTATACAAAACAGCTTTTCAGCTCTTTTATATTCAAATTTATTTAGGCTTGCCACTATAATTTATGTTTGTTTTATACTTGTATTATATTTTTTGCATACCTGTTCTGAATACCATTAAATTTGAAGAATTTGTTGAGGTATGAGAAAAAATAAAAGTATTTTACATTATTTCTGAATGTAATAAAATGTGATGTTTTTTCTCTCAACAACACAATTTTGACTTAAAACTTAGACAGTGAGGTGCAACAAAATTTTCCATTTAATTATAATATAATGTTCTGTTTTAATCTGATTGTCAGTGATTGAGTGATAGATACCTTCAGTAAGTGAAGCTCCCACAGTGCCGTGTTCTGAGGGTTGCAGTACTCGGGCACATCCAGCTCTGGCAGATACACACCACTGCCTTGCATTTCATTATCCAGCAGGATGTCACACTTAGGGAAGGTCTACACAAAAACCACACACACACACACGAATAACTGGTACATTCAGCTCAGAAAGCACAAACATGGAGGAGGAGCAGCGGCACTGGCTCACATGCATCAGCGCTCTGTTGGCCGCCAGGATGCCCACACTGGAGTCAGGCAGCAGGTGCAGCCCGAGCGTGCTCAGTCTCTTCAGGAAGCCCTGCGCCCTCTGCAGAGTCACCTGCTTCCTGCGTTTGGTCAGCATGACGTCCAGACACTGCAGCACGATCGCCGTGTCCTCGTTCGTTCCTCCTGCAGCCCATCCAAGACAACAGTCATTTCCATCCAAAAAAAGTGTGTGGAAAAATTGGAATATTGCATAAAACATTTACAACTGCCGTCTGATGTGTTCAAGAGAACAAAACCTTCACTTCCTGAGAAACTGACAGAGAATCGGGCATAAAAAGTTGCTGCAATCGGAAATTTTATATTCTACATAATATTTACTTGCACAGATGAAACACAGCAACAAATGCAATCATGAAAAACAAGCCTGGGAAGTAATTGTATCAAATCATTTTAATGACATTTTTATGGAAACCTGTTTCTGGCACAGAATAAAAAGATTGACAAAATTGTGACTTTTCCTCTCACAATTCTAATGCATTCTTCCAAATCGGAGTTTTTCATCTCACAATTCTGCATTTATATTACAATTCTGACTTTTTGTTCTCTGAATTCTTTTGAGAGTTAAAACTCAAAATTCAGTATTATTTTTCGTTTCCACCACGGAATAAAGACATAATAAAGGTAATTGTGAGATAAAAAGTTGCATAAAAAAGTAGTTTTTTTATCCTGTGGTGGAAACAAGCTTCCTTAGACTTGGTTGCAATTTTTAGTTGCAATTTCTAAATGAAAAATGTTTCAAAGTACATTTTCAACGTACGTTTTTTTGGCAACAGATTATGCATAAATTTTCACATAGAATTAAAAAATCTGCCTCATTTGAGCATATACATTTTTTATGTGCATATTGATATTTTCTTCACATCATGGTGTTTCAATCCAGTGTTCTTATGCAATATCCCAAAACTAGCGTAAAAATACATGGATGGAAACAGCTAATGACATTTGTGAATTTTGTGTTCAATAATAGGCCAGTGATTCTGCAGGTAAATTTAGGACCTTCATAATGTTCTTCCTCAGTAATTTTGTCTTATTTCCAGTGCAAATCTCTAAAGATCCTTAAATCAAGTTACATTTACTTGAGAAGCAAAATGACAGAAGTCTCGTTTTAAACAAACGTTTTGTTCAGTCTCTCAGGAAACAAGATATACCCCTGGTTTCACAGACAAGGCTTAAGCCTAGTCCCAGACTAAAATGTAATTCTGTCAGGACCACTATCGTCAAAATGATAGATACTTAGCATAAAGTTTGGTTTGTCGGTATGGTTCTGTTCTGGGCAAAAACCTCCCTGCCCATCCATGTAGCCTGTCATGAATGAGCAGGGAGAGCAGCAATAATAACCCCCCTAGGGTTAACAGAACAGAACAAGGCAGATATCATTAATGTACTTAATGATATTTAAGTGTAATACTTTATTCAAGATAAAGGAGTCTGATTAGCAAGGAATATCAGAAAGCCAAGTCCTGACTGTGGCGAAAGGAGGAGCTGGGGATGGAGGAGGGTAATTTGCTCCTGAGCAAGCTGAAAAGCTGCTAAATATGACTGTAGATGTGATCAGCTGAGAATCAGCTGATGCAAGCTTGACTCACGTGACCTGCCAGAACTAACGCTAATGCTTAATTTCTGAGTCGTTTCAAACTGAAAGATACTTGCTCTGACTGATCTTAAAATATATTAGTGCCTTTGTTTTGTCTCAAGATGCACACCAGTAATGTTTTTTTTTTTTTCTGAAGCATGTTAAGAAAAATGACTTAAATGTCCTAATTGAACTATGGCCTAATCCTGGCTTAGTCTAAGTTCTGTCTGTGAAACCAGGCCTTCATTTCTACATTTTACATCTCAAGTGAATGTATCTTAAGGGAGACCTATTATGACCCTTTTTACAATATGCAGGGTTCGTACACATTTTTTACCAATAAATTTCCATGACTTTTCCATGACTTTTGAGACAATATTCATGACCTAATGTTCCATTATTTTACAATAAGAATAAAAATCTGTTCAAATTATTATAGCATATGTTAACTAAAATGAATGACTATTAATGCTATTGTTTGCATTCTTGTTTTAGTAATAAGTACAAGCTGCAACTGTGCCAGACGTTACTCCACACAGAGAACACATCACATCACTGAATATTATCATTTAACTCAGTTAAAATCAGGACCTGAATTTCGTTTTGGAAACTGTTCTCTTTCGCAACTGTTTACATTTGCTTAAGAAAAAACAGACAGTGCTTATGAGGATACTCATTTTAACGTAATTTTGTGTGTATTTTTGCCGCTTAAATGCAACAAGCTGGGCATCGGGCTTGTTTTAGGCTTCATCCTTATTTTTATATTTTAGATATCCATCAATTATTATGGTGATGAAAGGATTTGCCGCGCTGGTGGAAACAACACGAGACCGTGCTACCGCGACTGTCAAGAGCGGCTCGACTGTGATTAGTGTCCAGCAACAGCAGCGAGTGCTTGAAGATTTCCGTGTTAAAGCACACGCAATAAAGCTTGCCGCAAAACCCCAGCAAGTAATTACCATGATGAATGTGTCGGGGCCAAGGGAAATAGAATATTCGCTGAGTTTCGGTTTATTTTTGTGAAGCGCTCCTGCTGACCGAGACGGTATTTCTAAATTAACTTAAGAAACGAAAATAAATATAACCACTTTGCCATTATAAATGAAACTGAACTATTTTAATGGCTACAACAGCAGCTGTGTAATGGGGAAGAAAGACAGACAAAAAAGACACAGGCTACAGTTGGACTCGGACAGTAATTCTGATAATCTGTCGGACAAGGGCCCTATGTTTGAGGCCCGTGCAGGGTTCTACTGAGCTTGCTTGGTACCAAACTCAATTTGGTACTCGCAAGGCGGCTTTACACGCGCGCCCTTTGGACGTGACTGAGCGCACAGGAAACTGCCTCATGGAGCGCACCAGTACCGAATGGCTTAAAAAGACGTGCAAATAAATAATACATTTTTGTGACGATGCAACAATGAACCGATTAGGCAAGTGACAATTCTGTCAACTGTACTGAAACACGAGCGAAAGTCTTTAGTGCAGACGAGATGCGCCGATGTGAAGCCGTTTTAAGAGAAAGTCAAAGAGAGAAGACATGGTACAGCTGAATCACTCACACTCTTTTCAAATGACTGATTTGACCACAGTGCCTTTACAGCTCCTACCTCATATACTCTGCTAAAAAATATCTGTTTGGTTTTGATTATCATGTCTATCACGCTGAAATCATGCGTTTTAAACCATTTTAGTTTAAAACTTTTTTTTGAGGGTCTCGCAGTTGTGCATCTAATTCTTAAAAATAAATGTCCGGGACACCACGGTGTGTAAGTGACTAATGTTCTCACTCATATTAAATAACCCA